CTAGCTTTTACATTTAAATTTGTGATTTAATGAAGTAGTTATTAGGCAGGTAGTAGAAAAGAAAATAAGGAGCCATCGTTAGAGAAAACACACTTGTTTTCTTAATACTTTGTGATTAAAATCCTCCCTGTAGTGACAACATCACCATGCAGGAACACGGGTGTAAAGGAATTTCCCATCATGCAAGATGCAAGGGAAGTTACCAAGAAAACCGGTGCACAGAAAGCGATCTAGAGATAATGTGACTAAGCTTGAGATATAGCAAGTAGGGCAGATGTACGGTGAAAACCTGAACCAGGACTTAGGGGGAAAAAAAAAAAGGCCTACATGGATCTGGGCTCACTATGTTTACGGTAATGAAAAATAAAATAGGATCATGATCGGATTTCTGAGAAAACTGACATCCATTTGAAATGTTGACAACGTCGTGTATCTTTAATATAACCAAATTGACTCTCCGGAACGCGTTTTGTCCTCATGTGTACATAGAGGAAGTTACAGAGAATATTGGAGGAGGCAGAGCTACACCAAAGATCACGACAGATGTGCATAGCCATTCCTAACACTTGGTAAAAAAAAATAAAATAAAAAAATTAAGTCATATTCTATTTTATTCTTTGTCACAGTGCATGTAAAATAAAGTTTTAGCAATGCTCTTTCTTTTTCCTAAAGCGTTTTAAAATGATTCCTCCTTCTTATCATCCACCCAGATGTGTTTTATTATTTGACTATGACGAAGGAAAGAGATTTACATAAACAAATGTTTGATTACAGATATGATGATACCTGACATGGAACTGTTATGTAAGAGCTTCACCCAGATCAACCCTAGTAGGTGCAGTTAGTATGAAATAAAACAAGAAAGCTTTACTTTTAATACTTCATATAATATGGGAATAATCTCTATTTATTAATGTTGTCTTGACTCAAGTCAGACTACTGGAGTTTTTAGTATCTTACATCAATGTCACTTTAAAACAACACAGACTTCAGCTGCGACTTTTAATTTTAATCCAAAGAATCTGACTAAAGCAGCATATCTGGTTGAAACGCATAGTGGGATTTGTTGAATCTCCAAGTTTTTTTTTTTTTTTTATATATATCACAAACCCAGACTTTTGCTGCACACGCAAGTACCAGACAAACTGTGGCTACATCTGTTATAAATCATTTTCTATTGGTCATCTAATATCTGAGTTTTCTAAGAAAGAGTGGCTAAATGAGCCTCTTCTGTAACCGCATCTGTTTGTGTGTGGATGCAGCATGGAAACAATACCATCTGCTGCTGAGAAAACAAACCTCACATGGATGTGGGGGGAAGGAAGGCATAAAGGACACAGTTTAAAAAAAAAAGAAGAAGAAGAAGAAGAAAGGAGGCCAGTTATGAACATTTCTGGCATTCCTCAGCTCCATGCAGCAGCAGGATTTTCTTCAGTGGAAGCAGCCCATCCAGCAAAGAGCCACCAGATTAGGACCCTGCAGGAAGTTCGACTTTCTCCTTATTGGCTGCAGCACCGCTGAAGCGGCTCAGAGCCGAAAACAGGAGGAAGAGCACATTAAAGCAAGAATTCGGGCTCTGATATTGTTTAACCTGACACGAGTAAGCATGAAAGAGAAAGAAACTTTGCTACCTAAGTATTACTGCGGCTTCCTCTTTAAAGGATGCTGGCATTTCCTGTTCAGAGAAGCTGTTGGATATTTATGGAAGTCTGGCCCAAGAGAGCACTTTTTTTTTCCCCCTCTGTGATACTCAGATTCTGTAAATAGGTATGTTGACTCGAAAAACAGATGCTTTACGAGCAAAGCCGGCCAGAGCTGTGTGTTCGGGGTTGAGATCTCCCTTGTCTTTCAGCAGTAAGAGTCAAACACACACTGGAAGGCAAACTGAGACACACACATAAAAAGATTAGCCCATCAGTTTAAATAAAGTCTATGCTAGAACAATGACTAGTTCATGTAGCATGCAGCATATTATTGCAGTTTTTTTGTGTGTTTATTGGAGCTTCCCGTGTTTAAGATCAAAATAAGGTTGAATTCCTGCAAGAGATTTGACGCAAATCTCTTGGGATGATTTAGTTTCTGCTTACGCGCCCAAAAGAGCAGAATGAGGAGAAACTTATCTCAGAACACCAAAAGATCATTTAGCATTTTTTTGTCCAGAAGACTTTTTTTGACTCAGTTAAAGCAGTCAAAAGGCCAAACAGACCGAAATCTACAACATCTTCCCCATTGGTGAAGATGTGTATAAAATCTTTAATGAAATTCCACTTTCTTAAGGACATTTTCTCCACCAGAAAAATCTAATGCAGTTTTCTGGAGTCCTAGATTAATCTCTCTCCTTCTTTTACCATTGAGGTGGCAAGATTAACTCTCCGCTTAGACTCGAAGATCACAGTTCCAGTTGTTTTGACTTGTTCTTTACATTTTTTTTAACCATAGACTGAGTTTTGGTGAGTAAATGTTTTCTTTCAGCCTTATCTCGAATTACAAACTGCAACGTGCATCTGCATGCTAGACGGCATGCTCTCTTGCCTTTACTGTTTTGACGAGAGTCTGAAAGATCCAGGAAACTTGAATGTTTTGATCATTCTTTAAAAAGAAACAGAATCTGAAGCTGCGTCAGTAACATTTATTCACCGGTTGTTGTGTCACATTTTTAGTGTGGCCATTTCTTCCTCTGTAAAAATAGCACTCGAGTTAAAGGTGCTGCTTCTCTAAAAATGCTCAGTGTAAGATTGTGCTACTGAAATTAAAATGTTTTGGATAGTTTTTAACACACCTTTGCCAGAGGTGCTAATAAATGTGAAGGTGCTTTACGCTCACAATCACGTGTTCTATAAAAGTGCATTCCGGTAGGAAGATTTTCTCTTGTTTCCTTGTAAAATCATGTCAGGATGGTTAAAAACTTCATAAATATATGTGTTGGGAGCCTCCTCCAGACATTTTTCCTTTGCAATTAAATAGAAGCATCAGATGGAAACAGGACATTTAGATAGTAGGTGTTAGCTAAAAAGTCTGAGAATTTGAGTTTTTCCCTTCCCCTTTCAAAGAATTTATCATCATTTTGTTTCCGATAGCACAAGCAGTGATGCCAAAGTAGCAAGGAAGGATTTAAGCTGATGTTAGTCCAAACCTCACACAGTTATGTTTGTTGGAAAATGTACTGAAAAGCAGCACAGATTTTGATTTCAATCACCTGATAAAAGGATGTTTACTTACTTATTTATCTTAATTTTTTATTAATTATCAAAGGAGTGCAAACTGAGGTATTTTATAGCATATCTCTGGTGCTTGTGTGCATAAACCCCCCCTTCAGTTATGTTGTGTGATCTAGTGAAATGTGTGATGACATGTTTTCCTGCACTCGCGCAGATCTCTGCTTGTATTTTCGTGTTTCATCTAAGTTAGAGAACCCGGAAACAAGAAAAGTGAGACTTTTTATAAGAGATCTGTTCTGATCAAGTTACAGACATTTACACCTTTTTTCTTCTTTCCGATGACATCGGTGCTGTGCTCACTTATTTTGGCACTATAGAAAATGTCCTACGCTGCCTAACAGGTCTCTGACCTGAAGCTGTGGATGTGCACGTGTCTCTTTAGTCCCTCCAGATTGGTTCTCAATAGGCTGGGCTAATTAATACAAAGCGAACTGAGTATTATTTTGATACAGAAGTAACAAAAAGTCTAATACCAAGTTTTCAAATGCATTAGACATTTTAGAGTTATCCTAGCCTGGCCATTGCCTCTCTATGCAATTTTGCTCTATTCTCACTACAAAGAGTTCTTATAATGTTGTAATGTTTGGCGTCAAGACCGTATGCTAGTTGTGTCGAATGTCTAATTCAAGGAAATATATATATATATATATATATGCAAAAGTTCACTGTTCCAAGACATAAAAAAAAAGAAGGTATTGGCCTTTAACCGGAAAACAATTAAATGTTATATTACACATATAAAACTTGATAAGCTACGTTTAATCAAAGGGGGTCAAGTAGTTTTTACAACTCAAGATAAATATAATGTAGAAGCAAGAGGAAAAAACGGCTCTGAATTGTAAAGGTCGATGACCCCTGTCCTGTACAAACAAGGTGCTTCAAATCTTTAGTTAATTGAAAATTAAATGTAGTTCTATTTTAATAAGAATACGACAACAGTGTTTGGTACAAAAGGACATGTATTTTCTTTTTTTCTTAGTACATTTTGCAATGCATGCCATAAACAAACATGTATTTATATTAACATTATGTCCGCAAGGACAAGTGCAAACCTTTCTGAAATTCAAGAGCAGAAAACAGGAATGAATCCGTTGCTGTACAAAAAGGAATATCGTATCGATGCTAAACGTTGACAAGTGGTAGAAAATTGTTTCTTTTTCAGATTAATTCTCACAGCTCACAATATACATTTTAGTACTTTCTTAGTTTTGAGAAATGCTTTCCGATTTCTCTGCTCCCAAAAAATCTGAAGGCAGGAATCACAGGTTGTGTTGTTAAGATTTTTTTTTTATTTTTTTTATAACAAATTAAATAATCAGGCGGATGCTCTCAGACTTCTATGGTTTCCTCGTTCTTGGACAAAAAGCATGAATCTAGAAGCAACCTTCTATGGGGGTACAAAATATTTTGTGCAACCTGTGCAAAAGCCAAAAATATAAGGTTGAACTGAATTTAACAAGAGTGGCTGAGAAAAAAAAAAAAAAAAAAAAAAAATACATGGCACATTATATTCAGGTCACGTGGCGAAAAATAGTTCATTTGTACAGTACACTGTGCAACAGTGGATTATGCTTCATGAGCCTTTAATTAAACAAACAAAATAAAAAAGTGCTCAAGATTGTCTTAAAAAATAAGAATGCTACTATATCAGCCTTAATCTCAGGCATTTATGTGGCTTGAATATTAAGGGGCTGAGGCAATATGAGTCAAACATAAATAAACATAAAAAAACAGTATTTAATGTCTGGCTTCAGCATAGGTGCTGCCCTCTGTTGCATTTCCTTTTTTTTTTTTTTTTTTTAATAGAACCAGGTTTCAGTTCTTCACCGTCTTCAAAGGATTACAGAGAAATTATTTACAAGTCAGAGGGATAAATTATTCTGATGCGCGAAGAACGATAGTACTGCAACCCAGTCCAACAGGCTGGATAGGTCAAACGAAACCAGTGCAGGGGACAGTGTGCAGCCGAGTTCAGTTCTGTCACTCTTAAGGCAGCAGTGCAGTCATGCAACAAGGTCCTCGTGCGTCATCTCCCGCTTCTTCTTTTTCCTGCTTTGTCCGTCCTCAAACGCTTCTCCTGCTGCACAGTTTTTCCAAATCCGTTCAAAAGCGCAGTCGCACAAAAACAGGCAGAGGTATGAAGCCACAAACAGTTCAGCTTAAAGACATCACAGCAGTAAAGGCAGCCAGGCGTAAAGCAGTTGCAGAGCGCGGCCCCCCGGCTCCTCAGCCTCTGCTCCGTTCAGTTTGGATCCGTCTCGTCTCTCACCGCAAGTGAAACTCGGGTCAGCATATCAGCTCCTGCTTTATTTCGGACCGCGTGCGGAAAGGCGGCTCGCTGAAGGAGAAGGCGTGGCGGCCCGTCTTCAGCTCGCCTTGAACCGGGCATATAAGGAACGACTCAAAGGCCAGCTCCGGGGAAGGAGCCGGGCTCTCGGGCTCCGATTCCGACTGGCTCATCTCGGGCTCGTCGAGCGAGGAGGCCGACATCGCGTGGAGGTGCGGGTGGGAGGGGGAGAGGGGGTTCAGCCAGGGGTGATTGAGACATTCTTCTGCCGTGGCTCTCTTCCTGTGCACACAAACACAATAACACTGTGGATGAGTGGAAATTCCCAAACAGTTTGTATAATCATTTGATGGCCCGGGTCTTCCGAATTCAATCAATTCTCTCAGACGTCGGGTATGTTCCTTTTCATCACTGGTTTCGCAAAACCACATAAACAGTACTTTCAGCTCTAAAAAATGTTGTTGCCTTTGTCTCATTAAGACCCAAAATCATAAGAAAAACTTGCATTCCCCCCCATTGCAACCGCTAATCTGTTGCAATTAAATGATACTGACTCGAGATTGCGGCTTTGGCCGTGAGACAGACAAATTATAGCTGCAAATGAAGGCCTCTTCACTGGAGGAGTCTAATTAGGGTAGAAGTGAGGTTAATCAGAACTTTTTTTTTTTTTTTTTCAAACAGACTTGCAAGGCTGTTAATTTTGTGTCCAAATCAATAAAATGAACATTTTTCTGTAAATGAAGCAAGTTTGAAGTTAGAATTAGCAGAAAGAGGAAATGGCTTCGTGTAACAGTAACGTGAATCATGTAACCACACGCATGTAGTTCCGCTGGTTGCGAACGTGACTCACTTCCTTGGTGTGAAAATCCATTTAAGGTGATGCAGATAGAAGCAGATTATTGATTTAGCTCAAAGTATCCGATTAACTTCATCTTTAAGTCAATTGCACAACCGAGGAATATTTTCGATTCTTATTTTGCTGCAGAGCAAATCTGACACACTCAATTCAAGGAAGCCAGACCAACAGTACTGGATGTCTAAAGTGAAGGAATAAAACACACTCATACATATGAAAAAAGTAAATTGTTTCCAAATAAAATCCTCACCTGGGGTTTTTCACCAATAAGGACTTGATAAAGTCAACTGCCAGGGAGGAGATCCCTTCAAACGTGTCCTGGGAATAATCTACATTGACTTGGGAAATGTTGAGGAATGTCTCCTGCTTGTCATCACCCAGAAATGGAGACTCGCCCGTCAGCATGACGTAGATCAGGACCCCAATACTCCTGGAACAGAGAGAGGAAGGAGGATGTTATGGGGCAAAGGTGTCTTCTTGGATGGTTTCACACAATTCACAATGACTACAATCTGCCTGACTTCCTTTGAGCCATGATCTTAACCATGATCCTGCTCCAAGTTGATAACAAACGCAGAAGAATTTGCCAAATGACATCCAAACTAAACACTATTGCCAACTTATTTTCCCACATTTTAAAACATCAAAACAACAAACTGCTAAAAGTGCAAATAAAACTATTTTGTGACCATTTTTACAAAGTTTTATGTACAAGGCAGCAATATTGGATTTTACAATTATTCTAATGATTTTTCCAACTTTAAGCTTGGACATTTAGCCTTTATTCTTCAACCAATTATCTAATAGGTATGTCATTTTGTATCAAAATCCAGTTGTTGTATGGCATGGGTTTCAAACCTTCAGCCTTCGAAGGCTAATAACCTACAAACCCTAATTGAATGACTATTACCTCTTTGACTTGCAAGCCTGAAAATGTTCTAATTATTTTATTCATGTTGAATCAGTGATGTATATATTCTACTGTATTAAAACAAATAGCAAAGTAGCACCCTTACCACATGTCCGTAGCAATGCTGATGGGTTCATAGTTCAGGATTTCTGGTGCTGAAAATTAGAAGCACAGACCCAATTAGTCATGAATTATGAGCCCTCAAATGTGAAAAGATACATGTGAATCTGATAATTTAAAAGCTGAAACCAGAACTCACCAACATATTCTGGGGTACCCAGAATCTCCCTGACCTCTGCGATCTTGTCCATCCTTCTGGACAAGCCAAAGTCCACAATACGAATATCCCCCAGGGGTCTGGCGCTGGTCAACAAGATGTTCTGGGGCTGGAGAGAAAACACACACAAAGATTAGGCAAAGTTCTGTTACATAATGACTATATATACACACTTGAAGTGGCCTGAGCTCTTACAGCCGGCGTCATCAGCTGTCCGTGTGAATGAATTCAAGGTATTCTGGCTAGACACTCCTGACAAGATTAAGGTGTAGTTCATTAGCTTACAGGTTGCTGTTCTGATCTCAGATCATTCACTGAGCCTATCGGGTTCCTCTTGGCTTCACCACCAGGCTTGTTTAGAGGTTGGAAAAAAATCAAAGTGTGAACGCAACTGAGTCTACTTCTGGGGGTGGGCAAGTGGTAAAGTTCAATGAATGTGTGGTTTTGTAAGAAGAAACCAGAAAGCGGTTGAACACATTGTTACAACAGAATGCATTGAACTGAACATAATAGCTATGTTAAAATCACTGAACTCATTCCTCACAGGAACAGTCACTATGCACCGAATGAGCTCTGGTTGCATAACAGAAAAACCCTCTTTATCACTGTGTGCCTCAAGGGCATAATTTGTCCTCCCCTGTCCTAGAAATTGTGTCCTTACTTTCAGATCCAGATGGACAACGTTGTTTCGATGCAGGAAGGCGACTCCATTCAGGATCTGCTTGGCTAGTCGTATCACGTCTTTCTCTGTGAAGGCTTCGTCGTTGTCGGCCACGCACTGGTCAAAGATCTCCCCACCTGCAGCACTGCAGCGACAGCACAAGATGGAGACATTGGAATAAATTAATCACATCAGTTACCAGCAACATATAGAAACCTACATTTCTGCAAAAGATACATTCATTGCTGTACTTTGGTTTTAAAGATCAAAGTTTGACCACATCTACACATACAGGAGGGCCGGACATAAATCAATAACATTTTAGGCATCCTGCCTGTGAGTGTGCCTTCCTACTCTTAGAAAAAAATGATTGAGATAAGAATGTTACATGAGGTAAGAGGCTGTGATAAGATCTATTACAGCCCGATATATACCTATTGAGTTTAGTAAAATAGGAGGAAGAAGCAGAGGCCAACAATGCAAAACTAATCAAAGCCTAGAACATTTGTGAATACAAAAGGAAATTATGTTAAACCTGTATGAAGTCACAAAGAGAGGGTAGGTGTAACCTCAGCCTGCAAAATTGCTGACTTGTTTGTTAAATAAATAATTTTGGACTCAAAGTTTTCGAGGCAGAAATTGTCCGATTCCTGACGGCTCTTGGTGTTCTTGTGCAACACAGTTAAGTAGAGTGGAGACATAGTGGATTTATGTTAGATGCCCAAGATCAGTCAAATCAGAGCCTCGAGCTAAAAGGTCTCCCCTCCCAAAAAAAAAAAAAAAAAAAAAAAAAAAAAAGAAAGAAACTACAACCATGTGCTTGGGCTTTAGAAGGCACACATACTTTTCATCCTCAGAGGGAAAGCTTTGGGAGCAAGCCCTGGGCACAATGTTACATAACCATCATTTTCTCGTCTCTTTCTAGGCCTCTACTTTTAACAAATTTTGTAAAATAACATGTCATGGCCATTCATAAACTGTTTGTTGATTTTAACTGTATCAACAAGCATCCTACCTCCATAAATAATGAAGGTTCTCAAAGCAGCTAAACTGTTTATTCTGACTTTTTTTTTTTTTCATTTCTACACTAACTGGATGCAATTCCAGTCTTCGTGCTTCAAATCCACTGAATATTTTTGACTTCAGTGGCAAGAAGAAAACCCTTTTTCTTCCCGAGTCACAGTTTCCAAAACTAAACTTAAAACTGTCAACGTTAATTTCTCCTGCAAGCACTTCCAAAGTCTGTTCAAACAGCTAAGCGCCTGAAAGGACAAAGTGCTTCACTGCCTTCATAAAGCTGTCAGCAGAGAACCATCTAGGAAGCTGCTATCTTGATAAAGTCTGTTTTGCTTAAATTCAATAGAGACAACATGTTTTAACCAAGAACGCTTTGTTTTCCTTCTTTCCAAGAAAGGCATTAAACGTACTCGATGTTGTTTTGGGAGCAAAAGTGACTCAGTGGCAAAGCACACAGACTCGGCCTGAAGTCAGTTTCAAAGGTGAGGTACAGAGACAGAGGAAAATAAGGCATTGTCTTTGTTAAGAAAAAAAAAACAAACTCTGTTATTAATCTGCAGCAGAAGCCATTTGATCAAATCCAATGTTGGCAGACCAGACCACCGAGCTTGGGCACTCGTTTACGTCAGCACCCTGCCAACCAGTGTCACCAAGGATAACCTTACAGTTGGATGACTTTCCTGGACAATAGTTTGTGTCGGTAATGGTTCAGTTCAAATCCAGTGAGGTCGGTGTTATACTGACATTAAGGAACCCCCCCCCTCCCCCTCCACAAAACAGGAGACCATTTAAAGGAAACATAAAAGGATTTACTTTGTAAGAAATAAGAGACTGAAGCAATGTATATTTTACATCTTTAAGTTACTATAATTATTTTAAGTGTGTATGATTTGAAAAAAGCAAAACAAAACCTCATGATACAGTTTTAGGCATGTGCACAACAAGTAAAGGAAATGAAAAGCTACGTCACAATGACTGGGAGATCTACCGGCTAAAAGTACCCTTGAGAACTCATTTGTCATCAAAGTGACAATCTGTAAAATGTGTCATCATCTTGCTGCAGGTTTCTTTGGAACAGACACATCGAAGCTTGCATTTTCAGGTTATCAGAAATCAGCCTTTGCCATTTCTTTGTCATTGGCACGGATGTGGTTGCGGCTGTGACGTGTGCACAAGTGCATGCACAACATCTAAAACAAGCATGGGGCTTTGTGCTGCTTTTGGGAGCCTCGCTTGACACTTACATTTAAAGCCACAGGAAATGGAAAATGGTTTGCAATTCTTGAAAACGAGGTTTGACACTTCAGAGATGCAGCTTCGAACTGGTTTATGGGTTTCACCTTTAGTGTTACATCAAGTTTGACGCCTCGTGTGCAAGGAAGGCGGTGGTGTCTGACATTTAAAAGCCCTGCTGCTGAGTATTACGATATTGTTCGTGTGCTGTAAGGGTAACTGAGGACCCATGCTGACTGGCCTACTGTTATGTTTTCTCTGCAGGCATGGGGAGTTGAGCTGTGGTGCTACTTCCCCTTTCACACTTGATTCAAGTAGTGAAATGCTGCCACAGAGCAGCTTTTGTTCTGCAGAAGCATTTCAAGTCTGGGATGGGGATGACCAGTGAGGTCTTCAGTTTGGTCACTGAGCAGTACAGTAAAAAGGTACGTTAGCCATCTCTAATGAGGTAATTCGTCCACTAAGCAGCCTTCCTGAATTCTAATTGCACAATGTTATTGTAGCAGCCAAGGGACATTTACGTCTTACATCACTCAATCATAGCAGTCAACAACCAGACAGCCAAGAGGATTCCTCTGTTTTAGTGACAATGTCTGGCTAGTTTCCATGTGTAGTCAATGGCAGAACACTGCCTTAAGCACTGATCAGCACATTTTCAATGAGTAATCTGTGGTTCAATAAGTCATTTACTCACAGAACTCTACATGCAACATTAGCATTTAAAGTGACAGTTCCTGTCATCTGCCACAGCAAGAACCTGAGACGGTAAAGCAGGAAGAGCGAATAACCACAGAGAGAAAATTTCCATATAAGGCAGACTGTATGCAACAATAACTCAAGGCTGCGCATTAGACACACGTCTCTATTCATAAGAAAACCCAGAAGCTATGCCCATGCAAAGCACAGGATGTTGCATGACAAAATGTGCTCTGACGTAAAGATCAACTAAAAAAGAAAATCTTTCACATCAACTAGAAACCGGGTGAGCAACCAGACAAAGGATGCTTTTGTTGTCCAACGATTAAGAGATTTTCTGATCTTAAGTGATGAGAAGCCACATCATTACATTGGAACTTTTCCGAAATGATGAATTATTGAGAAAATTACTACAGCATCCATCTCATCAGCAGTGGAACAAGGATGGCCGACTTTGTTTGCAAACAAAAACACTTAAGTAGAGCATGCATTTTTTTTTTTTCAGACAGTTTAAAAGTGCTGACTTACCATTCCAGAACGAGGATAATTTCGGAGTTGGTTTCGTAGACCTCGTGCAGTCCCACCACATATGGGTTGGCCTTGGCCAGCTCCAGCACTGCTATCTCGTTGAAGATGTCCATGCGGCAGTCTGCTCCCTTTCGTCTCTTTCGCAGAAACTTGGCAGCGTACTGCTTTCCCGTTGCCTTCTCAGTGCATTTCTTCACCACAGCAAATTTTCCCCTGGGAACCAAAAAAAAAAAGGGGAGATATGAAGGGAGTGATTAGCGAAGAGACAGACAAATGACAATGAGTGATTGTTTCTGATGAAGCAGGTTATGAATATATGCATGACAAAAGGAACTGTTATGGAATGACACAAAGATAAGGCTGTTCAGAAGCATCATTTGAATGCCGTAGTGCTCTGCTAGAGGGTGGAATCAGATGTTCAGTTGAATTTTCTTATTCTCCTCCCTCGCCTTTAGTCTTCAGAGGGGTCTGACAAGAGGCAGATAAGCCTGAAACTTTTGGCAAGTGCTGCTGAAAGTGGGCAAGGGCCTGATAAGTGTATAAGCACAACGAAGATGCAACAATCGAGTTGCTGGAAATCCAAATAATAAAAACAGAAAACGCCCAACTGAATGATGATAAAATGAAATTCTGAGATAACTTTTTCAGCACACAAAGTCAAAGAAGGTACTAAGGGTCACCCATGGCTGCGGCAGGATGTCCGATGTGTGCAAAATTGCCACCAAGTGTCAAACCGACAAAATTGCCCGCCGTCCCCTCCCACGCTGATAATAAGGCCTTGTCCACTTCCCTTTCTTCCCAGCTGACAGCAGCGGAGACAAATGGATTAGTGTTGATGCCTCCACCCAGACCCTTAGCGAGACACTGATTCTCCTTTGACAAGTCATACAAAAGCTGACCAGTCAGCTAAAAACAGCAGCCTCCAGACCAGGACCACCCACCTGACCCTGGTCAGACAGTGGGTAATTTGCTCTAGGTCTGTTGGAGTGTTATAAGCATGCAAAAAAGTGGACACTACACTGTAAACATCTATGTCCAAGGAAGAACTCTGAGTCTCTGGGAAAACAGAGTTGAATGTGAAAAGCTGAAGAGCAGGACTGAATATAAATGAAAACACCCGTCAGCATGGTTTCAGACAAATTCCCACACAGTTTTTAACCCAAGACCACTATGCGCCTGACCAAAAACAGCAGCTCTTCTGGTTTAGCTCTGTTTTGGCTCCTCTCCGGGCTGCTGGGAGGCCCACACTCTTCATCTCTTGTGTAGTTAACCAGGCACACAGAATGGTGATGTGTCACCGTTCGGCGTGAAAAAGACGAAAGCCGTCACAGCCTCTTTACACTTAATTAGCCAAGTTCAGATCTGTGGGCTGGGAACTACATATGGAGTGAAAAGAAGTGACAAGTGGAAACATAAAAGAGCAACAGGAGACCTTTTCAAAGGTTGACAGCAGGTCAGAGGTCACCAAACAAGGCCATCTTCCAGCTGGCTATGTTCACAGTCATGTTTCAGAAGCACAGAACATTTTGGTAATATTTCGAGCAGAAGCTTTGCTTCACTCATTGTATTTTAATTTTTTTGCAAACGCATGAGGAATTTTTAAACCCTGACATTTAAAGTTGCCATTATGTAAAGGAAACCGTTAGGAAGTTTTAGGTTTATCTTCCAACAGAATCTGTTAAAAAACATTTGTTATCCATCATCAGCTTTATAGTGACACAAAACTAATTTCCCTTCTTCCACTTGAGAGATTTAGGTAATTTGATTGAGAAATCAGCTTCCTGTTGCGTCTGTGCTTTGTCTCCCTCAGCAGGTCACTGACTCATGTCAGATATGAAATGACAGCTCTTGCAGCTTGTAGATGCCCGTTTCCTATGCAGAAGAGCAGTTCCAGTTCCTGGTTTTGACTAAATCTAATAATGCAAAGCAAGACGATGACGCTTGAAAGAAAAGCCACCGAGCCGTATGGTTTCTTCAACTGGACACGGTTCAAGGAAGGCAAGTGTGGAAATATTGAAACAGACACCACCTCTCTCTAATATGGTGAACAAATTAATGTACAGACTTTACACTTGATTTCCTGCTGTGCGTCCGCATACATTCCTTCACCTAATGCGATTATGGGGCCTGATCTCAGGATGCTGTCAGGTTGAAACCATGAGAAGCGGAAGGAGTTTTAGAGGCTTCTCTAATCTGTACCTCATGGGCAACCTGAGGCCAGCAGCGGCTGGTGTCACAGTTATCAGAGAGTCTGAAAGCAAAACTGGCCCAATCCTAGCAATCAGAGTACAAACAGTCTGAAGGGAAGGTACACAACATGAAGTTGCAATAATAACGCTGAAAATTGTGATTATGATATAAATTATTAACCAAATTGCCTCTTAAATCTCTTTATTAGCACAGTAACTCTGCCAATACACCGGGGACTAGGATTTTGATAAAGAACAGGATAAGTCTATCAAGTATGTATTTTCAAATTGAATGACAGGGATCTGAAATTTTATATCCCCCTAAATACTGTAAGCAGTCCTTTGATAATGTTATATTCCTCACAAAGATATTGAAATAAAAATATATATATATATATACGTTCTTCAGATCTACATTAAACAAATTTTAACTGAAGCAAACATGAATCTTGCATTAAGCTTGAAAGATAGGCATAAGGATGAGAGACAAAAAAAGGTTATTTAATGAAAGCTTGATAGAAACAGGAAGTGTAAACTGTCAAGAACATATCTTAAATCTGCACTAAAATCAATAATTTCTGTTTTTGGGATTATCTTATTGCATGAAACTGTTATTTACCGTGACAACAATTATGTAGTATAAATCTGATGCCCAGCTCAAGAAATTGAAACTTTTACAACCACAATATTCAACCACAAACGTGGGCATACTGCAACAGCTGAAGAGTCAAACACTCAAAGTGATGCAGTGAATTCATAAGTAATGTCCTTCTAATGCCGACAGCAGCGCTGACATCTGGAGGAGGGTTGGTGTAACCCTTTAAGTTCATTCTACCTCACAAGGCATCTAAAATATTCAATAACAACAATAATCTGTTCGAAAATTTTAAGCAGAGATCCACTAAAGCGCTTTAGCAGTGCGCGAGCCCCCGGTGCCAATGCTACCTCACGAGACTGAATGCGGCACAATAACTGTCCAATTAACGCGCTTTCCAAGCACGTGCAGAGAGTAAATCTAAAACGTTTACATGATTTTCGATTATCGATGCATTGTTGCAAACTCTGACCCCTGAGGAAACACTGCCAGAGAGTCAGCTGACGGATTTTCGCCGCCGAGGTGTTCAAAAATACGCAACAAAAGCAACTCACCTGCCCAGTTCTTTGCCCACCAGCTCGTAAGTGGTAGAGAACGGCTCTTTTCTTATCTTCGTGTGGATTTCGGTCATAATCCCGTTCTTGTTCATCGCTGCTGAGTTTGGCGCCGAAGTCGCTCCTTGGAAATAAACACTCTCCTTTCCACAACAAACGTGAAGGGAAAAAAAAACACGATTTTCGGTTCAGCTCAACTAATAACTCGCATAATAAAAAAAAAAAACAAAAAAAAAATGAGTGGGCTTAAGCCAGAGAAATAATTGTGAAAACACCGGGAGGCTATCCAGGCTGAACGCGTCCCAGCCGAGTAGATGCTGCTGACATGAGTATTTCACTGTGTCTGTGAACTAAGTCTGGCTGCTACTATAACATAGGGAAACAAACGTCTCGTTAGGAACCAGCCCCTGTTCTGACGCGCCGCAGTGCAAAGCCAATGACTAGTTAAGCTGGGCGGACCGTAGAGTCAGCTGGCGAATGGAGGCAAGGTGTTTATTGATTCAGGTAAACTGACTTAAGGCCCTTCTTTTTACTGTTTGGTTTATTGTAATTGCTACATAAACTAAAACTAAACTGAAGATAACATCAGTTTAAATTTGTCTTTAGTTTAGCTAGATTAAAGTGTCCCTCTTTTACAGCTTTTCAAAAGTGACTCAATTTTGGCTACATTCACTGTGGCATAGATTAGTTTCTCTGAAACACTGCTCAGAAGTTTGACTCTTTTGAGCAGTGGTTCTTACATGACAGCATGATACATTTGCTGCAGACATCCCTGGTGTGACTCTCCTGTTCAGCCACCATATCCTAACGGTTCTTTATTGAGCTGATCTGGTGACTCTGAAGGTCATTGGAGTGCAGTTTGAATTGATTTGATGTTTGTGACATAGTTCCAACTCCTGCATCAGATGGGGTTGCATACAGCAAATTATGACCTTATTATTTTTAATATTACATCTGAAACTGGGGCTCGTTGAACCAGGGAAAATTTTTTTCAATAAGTAGTTGTCCAATTTTGTAGCCCTTCGTTAACTGTTGCCTGAATTTCCTGAATGTTGGTACTATGTTTTTGTGCTGCTTTAACCTACTTTCACATATTATGTGTTCACCTCATCAGTCCTGGCTGAGCACTCAGTTTTTATCTATAACAAAGATAAAAACATTCTAAAAATCTCTAAACATGAAATAAATTTCGTGTGTGTTGTCGTTGGTATGTGTTTTCCTTTCTCACTGCTTACTTTCGGTTTGACATCATCTTAGGTGAGACTCTTTTTCCCACACCCTACTCTATCTCGGATTGAAAGATGGCCCGAAGGTACAAAAGTTCCCCGTGCAGCATTTTTCTAATCTGTGGGAGAGTTGTTTGTCTGCTCATTGAACCTGCATGTCATCAAATAGGAATTCATGGCATCCCACCAAGCAACTTTTTTTAATGCACTCTGGCATGATTGGAAAAGGTGAAGACATAATGCTCGGATGTTCCTGTTGTTGCTTATATAACAGTTTCACATACAACCGAATCAAGTAAGCGTGCTTGGTATTCATGGATCGCAAAGAGTGACGATGTGAGGATGACTTGGTGTTTATTGACACAAGTCCTCAAGAGACAAGTCTGAAACCGAAATGCTTCACTGACCAATGTCTGGGCTGCAAAACCTTATGGGCAACAAATCCCTGTTTTTTTTTTTTATTTCGATATGTTTTTTTTTTTCTTCATGCTTGAAACAATCATAAGCTTCTTGCTTTATTCGACTGGATATCCTGGTACAACCCCTGAACCATCACATTTATTATCGTTGAACAAATTATTTCTTGTTCTCACCAAACATAGAAGGGAACAGAGATTTAAAAAGACAAGATCCCTGCATAACAGGTTTCTCTGTGCTGGTTATACAGCCTGCGGCTGCGCGCTTAGCGAGTGGTTGGTCACATGCGCCTCATAGCTGTTATCTCGCAGACAGAGCAGGATTTGTTCAATCTTATCAAACGAAAGCTAAGTTTGTTGCCATAAATAGCAGCTGATTAAAATGCAAACTATTGAGAGAGTGGCAATACCTCAGGCCAGACCAAAACCTTACCATCTAGAGAAAGAAAGCTCACAAGGTCTGTTCCACCTCCACAAATTGCTACCTTATGTTTGATTGAGCCTACTGTGTAGGCTTGACCCTTTCTCTCATGCAGGGCCTTCCATTAAAACCCAGCTTGGAGTTCAGAGGAGCCATGTTGGTGAAGGAGCTCTACCTGACCCCAGAGGAATAATAAAAACACATACCAGTGAATTAGCCTGCCAGCCTGAAGTTTAGCTAGCATAAATATGAAAACCTTCAGTCATGACTTGAGAAGGGCAAAAAAAAAAAAAAATCTTTGGAACAAATAGGCGTTGTTGTGAAGGAGGTCCAAAAATGTAGTTCAGACTTTTTACAAGACCTGAGCAATAAATTAGCATTTTAGTTTGGTCGTTAAAGCGCTTTTTAAATAGGTTACTAATAGAGTGATAAATGACTTATGTCCCAGTTTTGAGTAGAATTATTGTAAGGGAGTTTCACTCAGCTACTTTCCACAATCTGATCACAACAGGAACAATGTATTAATCATGTTATCAGTTGCTATGATAAACTTACTATCAGTTGTTTTTTTAGAGTTTCAGGTTGTTGTACAGTCAACCTGATAAATATAAAGTATGTGCAGGTGTGGTGAGAAATCTACACGCCCATCATTGTCATGAATGTCAACTTAATTTTGACATTTGACTTTTATTCATGCATCTGTTCTTTGAATGGAATGATTATTTAGCACATACCTTTAATTAAGAAAAACAATTTATTGTACTTTTTCTTGAATTCACAGAGGGTCAAAATTATAAATAAATAAAAGCTTGAATACTTGCATACAGCTCCAGACATATCTGGATAACTCTTCCTATTTAAACCCTCTTGTAGGTCCTTGAAGCTTGATTTTGGCTGGGAATCATCTGGTCTATCGCAAATGGCACAGATTCAGCTTTAAGCACACCTTACAAATTTGTAAAAAGAGGAGTCATGGGGGATATTCCAGAACTTTGATGTTTTTTCCTTTCCAAAGCCAGTTTGCATGTGTTTGTGATCATCGCTCTTTCAGAACATCCAGTTGTGTCCAGTTTTCAACAATCTGTCCCTCAAATTTTTTAACAGTTTTCTGTGAAGCAAACAAGGGTAGCATATTGTTGCAATATCTGACTCATTTTTGTAATTTATAAATCATTCCTTACATAACAGTTTTTTTTTTTTTTTTTGCAATCAGATACATGAAGTCGATTTTGTCGTGCAGAATAAACATGCATAGAGCTGCTAAAGACAATTGCGAAGGTAACAGATTGTCAAGTAAACAAAAGGTTCTGGCTAAAGTTGGAAAAAGTGACCTGTGGGCTAAATATAAACTTTTAGGCATTTCATCATTCCCTTTGGTAAACCTGTCACGGGGACGCTGACAGATTTTTGTCTGCTTGTTGAAAGGCGTCTTTTCTCTTGCTTGGTTCTTTTCACAGTCAGCAAAAAGACCAGCTCTTGTTACCCAAGCCTTTTTCTCTTTTGCCATTTTGACACAGTTCTGTTAAATATTTAATCTTGTTCTTTGATGAAGCCGCTACAAGACCTCCACAGCTTTATCAAGATATCCTAATATGATAACCCCCAAGACTTTTCTTCTCCCAATTCAGCCCATTATGTGTTGTCAATGTCAAATATTGATTATCAAAGTAGATTAAAATAAAAAATAGAAAAAAATAAACTGGTTGAGTCACCACTCCTGGTATCAGCTGCCATCAAACGTTTGTAGTCAGACTTTTCCATCGCGGTGGAGGAATTTTGGCCCATTCTTTTTTTTCATTCAGCCACACAGGATGGCTTGTTTAAGAACACGACACAGCAGTTTAGTCCAATTTAGGTCCAGAGTTTGACCAGACACTCTAACATATAAATATTGCAACTTGACAGCAATTAAAGACATACCTGTCGGTCCACCAAGGAGAGGTCGAGTATGAAGAAAAGAAACTCCTAGAGGCTGAGTCAGGTACCAGAACCAGATATTACTGGGATGGTCCATGGTGACTTGAAATGGATTTTTTATGCAAAAAAAAAAAAAAAAATACTGAAAGGTCCCACAAATAAAAGTGAGCAGTTGGTCAGTCTTTCCTCAGATTTAAGTCAGAAACTGGTAGAGAGCTACAAAGAAACGATGAGATAAAGCAATTTGGATTGAAGGGGATAGGACTGACCTCATGATAAGGTGTCAAAACTCACATTTTTGTTGATATATTTTGTTAAATTTGTAAAAGAAGTGTAGTTTTCTAGGTTAACTTGAATTAAATCACATTTTTTTCAACACAAATGAATAAATAAAAAAAACATTGGACAATGATACAGCATGAGGAGGTTTCTGTAAATATGTAAGGTTGTGTCCCATGTTATGTCCATTATCTGAAATATGTTGTTTTGTGGAGACAGTTTCGGAAATGAAAGCTAAATCCTTCCCCGTTCTCAAAATACCTCTGTGTACCTTCTACCGCTTTGTGATTGTTTTCCATGTTTGGTTTGACTTTTGAATGAGAAAGCCTGATGGCTGCTGATAAAAGCTTCAAGCTTTCTTAGGGAAATGTGTCTAGTTGGTGAGGCCTTACAGACCACATCTTCAAGACTGCACCGGGAATGATTGTTGGCTGTCTAAATTCTGTGTTTATGCTTCTTAGCAGCAAAGCATTGTTTTTGCACAAAGAGGATCCCACCTAATGACAGGCTTCTGTCTCTGAATGGCTACTTTGTAATCTCACCTAGATGTATAGGTGTTTCCAGTGTACTCTGAAGCCCCATGCAGGGTTGCAACACAGTTGTAAGTTGTGCAATTTGTAATTAACATGCAGCTGATGCCTGTAACTAACTGTTTGCGCTCCTGCAATGGCAGACACTAATTTAGGTAAATGAGTAGTTTGTATATTTTTCAGCTGAGGGCAAGAGCGGCCTGTAATGAAATTCAGAAAGTGTGATGTCATGCTTTCGTTGACTCTGTAAGTAATTTGTGCAGCAAGGTAACAGCTTTTAGGCTTTCCTTACATGCTGGTGTAATCGCTATTCTGTTCACTGTGACCTCAGCATATAAGGGACTAAAGTCTGAATGGAAAGAGCATGCACCTTTATAATGTACAAGACTATACGAAGATTGACTCAGGTACTTATTACAAAAACAGTCATTTTTTGCCCCTTCTTCCTGATTCTTCAGGTCAACGTCAGTGGCTAATAAAAGAGCGAGTAGCCGTCGCCCAGACACACGATCAAGAAGTCATTCTCTGCAGGACAGCGGGATGACGTGCGAGGCTGACGCCCGAGTGGTATTAGCAGGCAAACTCCTAATCCTTTTGGCAACACAGTCAAAAACTCAGAAGG